AGTGAACGTATAGTTTTATTTTAGAAGGAAAGCTCTACACATTATATTGTCTTTTGTAATACTTTGGTGGTGGGTGAATTACAAATTTATGAAACAATATTATTTTATTTGAGGTAAATATCTTACTTCTTGGATGAATTATGTAAGTCTTGTTTTCAAATTAAAAATACATTACATATGTCATCAAACATATTTCAGGACATGCATTGAATGGTTTATGACAAGCTTTGTGTGTCGTTGCTAATATTCAATGACGTTGTAGTGCTATAGACATGACGCTATACAGATGTCATGTTTAGTATATCATGACGCTCATTCCTCTGTTTATGACACATATTCCGCGTCTCGAACTGAAATAGATGACACGCTTTTTTATTTCAATGACACTTGTTAAGTGTCTCTAAAAGCTATACATGACACTGTGCGTATGTCATAATTAGTATACCATGAAACTCATTCCTCTGTTTATGACACTTATTCCGCGTCTTAAATGGTAGTAGATAACACAAGTTCTTAATTCAATGACACTTGTTAGGCGTCTTTAAAAGTAATACATGACACTTTTTCAACGTCATAAAAAATATATTTAATGACACCACAAAGATGACGCTAAACCCTTGCGTCATTAAACTTTTAACATGACCCATAAACTGCATTATGTATGTAAAAATTTGTAGTAGTGTAGTTGACTTCGTACTTTTGTTTGAATTAGTCCTGAAAGTCCAATTAGCAGCTGTAAAATAGTGGCTTTGTGCCCAATTTACCAAAACGAAAATCACTTTTTTGCCCTTATACATTTGCCTTGTATGTCCGCATGACCACGATGATGAAAACTTGAATGAAAAAAATTCAAAATCTAAACGCAGTGGAGAAATTGGTTATTTATAATAGGGTAAAAGGCTGTTTACTACCCTCAAGTTTCATGGTTTTCAACATTTAGTACATCAATTTTTTTTCATCCCAGAGTCATACCTAAAGTATTAATTTTGAGAGAGTCTCATACATCCGTTAAGTTTTCTGTTAGAACTTCTGTTAACTGATGACGTGGCGCCCACGTGGACAATTACTGGGCACCACATGTCAATTTAGGCCCACTTCAATATTAAAAAAATTAAAAAATTAAAAATACAAAAAAAAAAAAAAAGAACAAACATTTGTCTCCTCCCTCATCCCTCGCACCCTCTCCCTCCCTTCTCTCTTCTGCAACCCGTACCCCTTCCCTCCATTCTCTTTTCTGCACCTGCACCACCCTCCCTTCTCTCCTCTACAACCCGTACCCATCATCTCCGCACACCCAACCCAACAAAATCCCTCCCAAAGAAATTCTATTTCAACAAGAATTTGGTATTTTCAAGTATGGATCTTCTCTTTGTGAACCCAGAAGAAAAAGCCAGAAAAAGCCTCTCTCGTGACCCCTATTCCACGAAAAGAGAAGAAGTTAAATTAGAATCGTTCTTCAATCCGTCTTACCCACCTCTCTCTCGCTACTCAATTTCTCTACATCTATCACAATTCTTAAATAACGAAACAAGAAGTTTAATTAAAGCAAATTAAGAAACAAGTGACTTCCATCTTCAGGAAAAGCTGAAAAGTGTGGATTGAAGTTTCAATAATCTTGACGAGATCTGGGGCATAAACCATTAAATCAAATTCTTCCTCCTCTAGGCCATTTCGAATTGGACCAGAAAATGCAAAATCAAAACGGGTGGAGGAGACTCAAATCCTCCCAATTTTCCAGAAAACTATAAAGTTAAAAGAAAAAAAATATTCAGATCAACTAATATTGGGTTTCTTTTGTGAACCCAGAAAAATTGGGGTCTCTTTCGAGATGAAAATAAAACGGAAATAGAAAAGGAAAATCAAAAGGAAAAAGGAAGAATAAGGGAAAAAGAAAAGACGGAAAGGCAGAGAATAGGCGGTGGGTCCAGGATATGGACGTAGAGGACGAGATAGCTCGTAGCAGCAGCCCAAGACAGACTGCGTCATCGACCGGATCTGGTAGGACGGTTTGGTTCGTGCAGAGGAGAGAAGGGAGGGAAAAGAAATGATGGAGTGAGGGACGGACAGACAGGATGCGTCATCGACTAGATCTGGTAAGACGGTTTGAATTCTGATTTCAAAAAATCCGACTGGTTGCACTCGTCCCACCATGCTTTCGACCTGTCCTTGACCCATAGCCGCCGATGGTGACCCGATTCGACTCCCGGCTTACCTATTTCGACTCCATCAGCTACCGCCGACATCGCCACACAGGCGGCGCTTCTCGATTTTCTCCGCTTCATTGTTTCAGATTCTTCCACCTCAGAGTAGCATTCCTGCAAATCAAAGTAGTAATCGAAAATGGCCTCGTTCCTCTCCTTATGCGTCCCTTCTATTAAAGATGCGTCGTCATTCAGTGCCATGTCACGGTCAAGCTCATCCTGCTTCACCTGCTCTTCGAGCAACGACAAGGAGGCGAGGTCTTCAGCTGCTGGAGGAAGATGTAGATGGTGATTTGCAGACGACAGCCATAACAAGGAAATTGAGGAAGCATGGATAAAGGGTGTCGGGTGGGGAAGACAATGGGGTTCTGGGAATTGAGGGATGTCGGGTGGGGGTGAGGAAGACGAAGGGCTTCTGGGTTTTATTTTGTTTGTTTTTTTGTTTTTTTTTTTTTTTTTTTGAATTTTTTTAATAATTAATTTTTAATTTCCACGTGGATCCCTTAATGACACGTGGCACCCAGTCATTGTCCACATAGGCATCACATCATCAGTTAACGGCATACTTAACAGTTTGACTAACGGATGTATGAGACTGTCCCAAAATTAACACTTTAGGTATGACTCTGGGACGAAAAAAACTTGATATACTAAATGTTGAAAACCATGAAACATGAGGGTAGTAAACAGTCTTTTACCCTTTATAATAATTCAGAGAGTTAATCGGTTAATATTAAATTTAAAGAAAAAAATTGCTAGCTTTATACAAGTTTGGAGGGAGTTTTTGCAAATCAATAAATAGATCCTAATTTTCTCGCAATGTTTTCAGAATTTTTTCTATTTTCCCCTGTCTAACAGCGAGGAACAACTTTTACCGACAAAATGACGAACTTTCAGCGAGGAAATATTTTGATGATTCTAATTTATCAACAACGATCAAGCATATTTCTCGCCATATAAGTTCACTAAAGGCCCTACGTACTGGGATGATCTAAAAAGGAAAACATTATAGTCGCCAACTGTTTCTGGGACAACTTTCCTACTTTCAGAGGAAGAATTCGTCGCTGAAAGGGTTTCTTGTTGTGGAAGACTAGATCTAGTCATAGACGCTTAATGCATGTGGTGGACAGAAGCCAATATGGTGATTTGAGATCATTGTAACAATAAGGCGAGGACGAGCGCTGAAATCAAACAAATTTCCCCTCCTTGCTAACAGTCACACGAACAATACCGTACGAGATATCAACATCGCCCCCAACAAAGTTAACAACATCGCCCCCAACAAAGTTCAGAGTTATAAATTAGTAGAAGGTGGTAAATTGGGTTGAATAATCTTGAACGTAAGTTCGGCTCCAAGTGTCTTTTTACCATGAATGTTGATATGTATGTTGGATGAAGTAAGCTAGTGAAGAGTTCTATGGTGCTCCCAAGTATCGGATATTTTATACTTTTTTTTTAAATTTGGTCAAATATACAAAAATCAAGATTCAACAGTTAACATGCTCAGAGTATCTTATACATCGGAACATGATATAATTTTTGCTTGTGGAATGTTGAACATATGAGAAACCTACATTTCGTAAGGAGTTAACTGAAACCATAGATGATGAAAATCAGTCCGTACTTTAAGGGTGCTTGAAGGAACCCTCTAGATCGCTGCAGATGCTACAAGATTATTCTTCAAGTTTCTTCAAAATTATGAGATTATGATGAGGGCAGCGTGGTGATGCGGTCCTTTAACAGGAAAAGGAAAAGCTATGTGGCGGTGATCCAGACTAACACCTTCAGCTTTAGTTTGCAGCTCTTGTCAAAAAGACCAATAATTTCTTTACGCAATCGTATATAGGATAATCATTGGATGTAATTTTGGGGAAAATGAAAAATAAAGTGAATCTATCATTTGTTTGTGTGTTTGTTACAGTTATGTGGACTACTGAAACTTCTAATTTATTTCCCAAGTATCTTGAATGCTTTGCCATATTTTTTTGACGCTCCAAGTCGTAAACTCGTCAATTATAGATATAGAATTCGAAATAATGTTAATGTGATGTGGTGACTGGTGATTAACAATTGACATAACTGTCTGATTCATTTGAATTCTTTTATCTTTTGTTTACAATAAACAAGAACGTCACTAAGATTTGGTAAATCCTAATTAGGAATGACTATCTAGTCGTGTCCCACCTGAAAGAAATGTGCCTATTATTTCCAATTCCTTTAACCACTCCAAATCTACCAAACACAAAAATTATTATATATTCACCATCGGTGTACTTATATACTCCTTTTACACAAATTTTTGTAGGCTCACTTGTAACTTGTAAGTAATGTATTTTAACGATCCAAACAATCTATTTTTAGATATTTCATCATAAATCATGTAGGGTTTCTTTATAGAAACATATTTGTCCACTTTCTTCGCTATAAATGAATGTCATGGTTTTGAATTTGTCTAATTTTTTGTAAGGATGATTTATTAATGATGTTCTAAAAAATAAACAGTTGGATTGTTGAAATACATTACTGAGTGGGTCCCACAAAACTTGTGTAAAAAATTGTATAAAAAAAAGTGATATCACGGATCCATCCCATATGTATATATAGGTGTAAAAAAAAATTGAACAAAATATAGGTAAAAACGATTAAAGTAGCAAAGGTGATGGAAGTAAATTTTGGTGTCAATTTTAAACGTTCAGGACCACCAATAAGTTCCCTTTTAATATTTATTATAGGCAAGTTGTAGCTTTTCATGAATGATAATTTCTCCTATTTAAGTCAATCCTAGGATTAAGTGTTATCTCCCAATTCTACCTCTAACCTGTTTTGTTATTAGTTCATCAATTGTTGATCATAAATTATCCTTGGTTTATATCCTTAACCGATCGATCTTCTAATTAATTAAGATATGGCTTTAGTTGGTAAGCTTGAGACGGAGGTAGAGATAAGTACAGCTGCTGATAAGTTCTACAAAATTTTCTCGGGCCAAATGCACCTGCTTCCTAACATCTGCTCTGACAAAATACAAGGGGTTGAGCTGCACGAAGGTGATTGGGAGACTGCGGGTTCTGTCAAGCATTGGGATTATACGTTGGGTAAGTCACACCGGAGGCAATAGAACTGACTTAGTTGAAGCCCTAACTATTAATTAGCTAGGGTGATTCCCTTATTTATAATTTATTTATGTGCACATATATATAATCAGGAAGTGATTTATGCATACAACTTTTTGTCCGCATCTATGTTTATTTATGATCTTTAGGTTAAATATATTAAAAGAATATGAAGAAGAAAAATTAACAAGGGTATGCAAAAAGAAAACTGGATCTAAGTGTGAAGAAATTATTGCTCATATATAATTACTCTTTTATAATGTGAAAGTGACGATGGATATGTACAGATGGGAGTTCGTTAAGTGTAAAGGAGACGGTTGAAGCGATAGATGAGGAAAACAAAACAGTGAAGTTCAACGTTCTGGATGGAGAAATCTTGAAGCATTATAAGAGCTTTAGGGTGACACTAAAAGTAACAGAAAAGACTACTGGAGGGGGCAGTTTGGTGAAATGGATAATTGACTATGAGAAGGTGAAGGAGGAAATCCCAGATCCAGAATCATATCAGGACTTTGCAGTGAAGGTCACCAAAGACCTTGAAGCTCATCTTCTCACTGAATGAGACACAGCTATTATTAGTAATAAATGGTTCGAATTATAACTAAGGCCTTTTTTTTTTTTTTAATTGTGGGATTTGAGTAACGTTGTATTTATACGTACATAAAAAAAAAAAGACACAAAGCTTGAGTCAGTTGGGTGTCTTCCATGTATAAGGGATGATTTCGTCTTAATCATTATCTTGTACATTAACAGAGCGTGTGCAAATATGTATTTGGTATGCAACAACATTTGTATTTGTATCTGTTTAATTTCTTATATAAGAAACATCTTCAGTTTGATTCCTAGAATACCATTACTACAACTGTGTGAGTTTCAGAGTTTATCTTGAGTTCTATCTGTTTACTGCTGTAAGGACTCACCTATTTTTTATTTTTCCTACTTTATGGTGGGTTATTCCCTTTTTTCACTCCCAAATGAGTGGTCACCTATTGTATACAAACTTTGATCTAATGCTCATGAAAGGTCAAAAGCGAACGGTTGATATTTAACTAAATATCATCTCAACCGTTCATTCATGAAAAATGACAGATGTGGTGGAGAATTTTTGTTGTAATTTTCTAACTCATGAGTTTCATATATTAAACTCTCAAGAATTGGATCCACTCTCAAAGAACACAAAGTCTACAGCTCACTGTAAGAGTTTGATTTATATAAAATTAGAAACAAACTCAAATTTTCGGCATTAAAGGCTAGTGGGAGAAAAAACAAAGGCAAAATGCTTTCGGCTTTTGCCCTTTTCAAATAAATTTTTTTGTTTTGTTGATACAACGATATATTTACACATTTTACACTAAGGGATAAAAATAATAAATTGATACTTAAGAGAAATATTACTTAACTATAGTACTAATAAGTGTCTTATCGGTATTTTCCTTTTTTGATGGAAACACAGGAACAACAAAAAGGAAAAGAACAGTATAATTTAGGAAAGTATATAATCTCTTTATGAAAAAGATGGAATAGAATCCGCATCTGATCCACCATAACATAGTGGCCATGAGCATCAAATTAACAAGACAGTGCTAAAACAGAAATCTACTTGCCCAGTTGCCCTAGCTAGCGAGGGACCAAACAGAACTCCAAACCTAAATTAAATTTGTCAGAAAAACCACCCCAATTCCGATCCGCAATTGCAATTGGCTCGAAGTGAAGGCATATTATACTTTATCTAGCTATTTTATTTCTTCTATATAAAGAACAAGGGGGAGTCATTTTTTCACCAGACTCTAGCTAGCTAATTTCATACAAATTACAAAGGCAAAAAGATCGAACGCTATGGCTCAAATAGCAAAGATGGAGGTCCAGGCTGAGATTAAAGCCAGTGCCGACAAGTTCTACGAAATCTTTCGTAGCAAAGGGTACCTGTTGCCCAAGATGTGCCCTAACGTCATAAAGGACCTTCAGGTCATCCAAGGTGATTGGGGCTCTGTGGGCTCAGTCAAGCAATGGACTTACTTTGCTGCAGGTAACAATAACAATTCATGGAAAAAAATTTATGCATGCCAACTTAAAATATTTTATACATATACTAGACTCGATCGACTATATAACCTAACCTGGACCCAATGATTTGATATTTTCTTAATTAATTATATACCTGCATGATAGACAATGTTTCTGAGGTTTCAAGAGAGACAGTTGAAGCCATAGATGAGAAAAACAAATCAGTGACTTTCCGAACAGTAGGAGGAGAGTTGGCGAAATACTACAAGAGTTTCAAGGCTACGGTTCAAGTCACACCAAAGGTTAGTGGGGGATGCAGCAGCTCATCCGTGAAATGGACCGTCGAGTATGAGAAGCTGACGGAGGGTGTTCCGGTTCCTCATAAGTACATGGACTTTTTGGTCCTTCTGACGAACAATATTGATGCCCACCTTCTCAATAATAAATAAATTAATTTGAAAACGATTTATGCACATTATTTTTTATTTTTGGCACACTCTTTTAGTAATCACAAAAAAAAATATATATATATATACAGCGAAGACCAAAATCAAGAGGAGGTGTGCATAAGAAGAAAAATAGTCATATAGTATGGTACGTATATAAAAGCTGGCCAGGGTGATAGTGGGAAGCTTTAGCGTTTCCTTTTAATTTCTTGCTTCTTCTATGTTTTAATGGTACGCTTTCACTACAACTAGTACTATTGTATTGTATGTGAAATTATGACTTGAATGTCCAATATCCATTGATGATCAAATATAAATTTCCAACCAAAAGTCCAGTTTAAGAAATTCGTACCAATGATAACTAAACCAACAAAATATATGTATATGTATCAGAACCAGAGGAAAGAAAAGCAAAATATATGTATATATATATGTGTATATTATATGTGTGTGTGTGTGTGTGTGTATCAGAACCAAAAAATATCAGAACCAGAAGAAAGAAAAGCATGCCTTAAAAAATGATGATATGAACCAGAGGAAAGAAAAGCAAAATATATGTATATATATATATGTGTATATTATATGTGTGTGTGTGTGTGTGTGTGTGTGTGTGTGTGTGTGTGTGTGTGTGTATCAGAACCAGAAGAAAGAAAAGCATGCCTTAAAAAATGATGATATGTTTTAATTAGATGTTTAAGGTTCTTAAGACTAAAATACATCAAGAACTAATGAGCCTGAAATACGATGGTGATCATATAATGAGGAAAGGAAAAACGGAACACTACAGACAGGAAATCTATTCATAGACCCTAAGGTCTGTTTGGCACACCGTATAAGGCATCGGATAGTACTAATACTACGGAGTACGGTGTTTGGTGTCCGTTTGGATTAAATAGCCACCGGATAATTAGTCCGCCTCTGCTTATTTAATACACCCTACACACGGCTCCTTATCCTCCCCAAATCGTTTGTATAATTAGTCGGGTTCATGCTACCGCTCGCTCTTGCGCATCACAAACTCCTCAATCAAGGAATTACTGCTCTCTCTCTTTCTCCCTCCTCACTACCAATCAACATCAAGTAGATACAAACACAAAACCAGAGGTGCCGAATCGAAACCACTTCACGCCATTCTTGTTCATACACCTATAGTGGCAGATCAAACCAGAATGGGAGAAATCTCATATGGGTTTTTAGTTTCAATGGATTAGAAGCTGTGAGAGAGAGCAGCGGCACCAATTTCCCTGTAAAGCACAAAATTGCAGTTTGCTGGGTGCACGAGTGACCATCGATTCTGTTGGAGGTTGCTTCTGCAAATTTGGAGGTTTTAATTGGTTTCTGAATTTGAAAGAAATTGAAGGTGGCAACGAGATCGAAAGCTGGCTGGGTTTTTTTTTTCTGTTGGTGTAATGGCTGGTTTTTTTTTTTTTTTGTTGTTGGAGTAGTGGTTGCCTGGGTTTCAAAGAACATATTCCTCCGTGGGGAAGATGGTGATGTTTAATCCCTTTTTTATTTTTATTTTTTTAATTTTTTCTGTAATGGTGTTTAATTCATTTTTTCTCTGTTTTTCTTTGTTTTTCTCATTTTTTTCATTTTAACAACAATTATTCTGTGAAATACTTTTAAAAATTTATTATAATCTGACGTATTATCCGATGTAGAAATTAATCCGATTCAATTACCAAACGTCCAACTAATTTAGTCAGTATTATCCGACGACTATTTATCCTATCCGACTGAAATAATCAGTACAGTCCGAGCTGACAAACGAGAAATTGCATATTGTACCGTGGTTTTCCAGATTGAATAAAAGCGTAAGTGGGGGACATAAAGCAAGATTTGTTTAAGATGATTGTAACACCAAATTCTTAAATTATATATTGCGCACAACAAGTCAATCCTTAATAGTTGTCTGATCTTAATCAAAAAGCAATTTTTACAGAAAGGGATCCTCTCTGGACCCCTTCCTCCTAATCTATCAAGTTCGGAGATCCGAACCATTGAAATTTAATCCAACGGCTACAAACAAATGTCCACTTTAAAAATTATAATAACTTTAGTTGTTTGATCAAATTTTAATGACCCGAATTTCCAGACTTGGTAAATTAGAAGGAAGGGATCCGGAGAGGATCCCTTTCCAATTTTTACCCTCATATTTCAATATAAAACTAAGTAACTGAGAATGTCAGTTGATTGACTGTCCCACCCATTTACTTACCCCAACCTGTCTTTGTTTCGAATTTGGATCCTTTCCTGAGCTCAACCTACTGAGCCTCATGAGCAAATCACACAGGCTGTTAGATTTTGATCCAACGACTATAATTATTATAACTTTTAGAGATGTCCCCTATTTGTAGTCATTGGATCAAAATCCAACAATCCGTGTGATTTGCTTAAGAGACTTAGCAAGTTGAGCTCAGGAGAGGATCCAAATCCCTTTGTTTCATCCATAAGTGTATTAATACTAGTTTAATAATTTACTCTCTTACTATACCAAAAATGTTTCTCTTATTACCATTTTCATAAGATAAACTAGGTTCTTATTTCTCATTTTTCTTTCTCATTAATTAAAACTTTATTCTGTTTTCATTTTTGATAAAAGTTTCTTGACTTTTCCCCATGTCATGATTGGAATGTTAGATTATTTACAAGTCATTATATGGCAATTTTAAAAATAAAAAACTTATTAATCTTTTTTAAATATATATTTTTAGTTTTTTTTCTTCATATATTTCTGTTTATAATTTGTATCCTTTTTTTTAATTTATACCAATATTATTTTTAGTATTATAATCCTTTCGATCTAACCTAATATAATCTTGTGGCTAATATGCATTTCACTCTCACAAGTTCTCAAAATAAGAGCATCATGTGAATTAGTTATACCGTGTTATAATGAATATATTTATAGATTCCAATTTGTACTACATGTCACAGCCCGTCCCGGGATTCTATATATCGGGGATGCGAAATGACGGAATTACCCTTGACGGGTATTAAGGTATGTGTGTGTGTGACATATTATTTGGACTAAATTCATATATTTCAAGCTTTTGGAAAATATTTTAAGTTGGATTAAAATTGGTTTGTAATTTATGTGGTTAGGAAAATAAGGGTGGAATTGTTTTGAGGGACCACACACACACACGGGACACCCTGTCCCTTTCCCCGTGCCCTCTATCTCTCTCCCCTTCTCAGTTCTTCCTCTCTCCCTCTCGACTCGTACGGACGAGGCACCAAAACCCTCCAACTTTCACGGATCGACGTCAAAAAGGTAAGTTTGTGAATCCTTGCAACCTTGTGAGTTCATTGGTGCAATTTTTAGAACTTAGAACCCTCGATATCACGTGAAACCCGAAACCCATTTTGAGATCACTGTTCATGCAATCGTGATATGTTGATTTTCAGGGAATTCTAAGCTTATAGTGAGCTTAGTGAGGTCCCAAGGAAGCTCGGAGTGTTTCGTTTGAAGGTTTTGGACGTCGGGATCATTGGGTTCGAAATTGGCCGGTTTTCTTGGAATTTCTCCGATGAGATTTTGTAGTTTTTAGAGCCTTAAAGTAGTGTAACGTGAAACTACATGCTTAGGGCTTCATTTTGATATAAAATACGAAGAAAATGGTTGAGAAATGACGGAGAACAAGGAGATTGAAAAATCTCCAGTTTTCCGGCCACCGGAAAAACCAATCCGGCGAGCCGAGGTAGGAGACGCGCGTGGGGGGCGCGTGGACCCGTGCCTGTCCAGGCGCGTGGGGGCGCGTGCAGCCTCAGAAAATTTTTCTAAAAATTTCTCGACGTCCGTGACGTCGAGTAGGTCGATGTGGTATATTCATATACCCAATTTGAGCACCGTATGAGAAGTTATTACGAATTGTCGGTTATGTGCGTAAATTAACGTTTTTATAGTTGTTTCGCATATAGGTGACACCTATCCCGAGGACGAGCGCATCCAGGGACGTCACGGGGGTTACGACCCATCGACTTACCAATGAGTGGGCAGTTTTGTTTTCCGTATATACCTATATACTATTGATTTTCCTATAAATTGAATTTATATGAAAATATGTTTTCAAATGCCATGCATGCATATTGTGAATTGTATGAATTGATATTGATGCATATATATATGTGAACTGGTGCTGTGGACGCACAGGTGAGTATCAGGTGAGTTTATGTTATTCATGTGAATCATTGATGATGTGAATTGTTGAGAGCTCATAACCTACACCCCCTGGTGTTAGTGCTTATATTATTCACCGCACCGCACGCTCACCTTGGATCCAAGTAGGTGCATGTCGTACAGACCATGAGAGGGTTCCGACATGCTAGTCGTACAGACCACTAGAGGTTGTTCCGACTAGTAGGTGACCTTAGATTATGCATGCAGATGATTGATGAGAGAAGCACTAGAGCGTATTCTTACACCTTTCTTATCGTACAGATTACTTTAGGTAGTTCCGATTTATGTGCAGAGTAGTGCCGTACAGGTCACCGTGGTGACTCCGGCTGGGTTGGATATTGAGCTATGGAATTAACCGTACAGGACCAACTGCAGGGTCTCCGGTTGATTCATTATGTCACCTGTTATTTTGATGCATCCATGTTTCGTTATTGACATTTATGACATGGCATATTTCTGGATTTGTGATAGATTGATGATTTGAGATATATGAGGATTTATATACTATTATGTTATTTTCTGGGAAAGTATACAAGTTTTACAGTGAGGGGTTAGAAATGTTTTAAATGAAATGTTTTGGAAAACTTTGGTTTTACTGACCCACTCAATTTTGTTTTGCACCCCTCCAGGTTCTAGTTAGCAGCGTTGGTGGCCCACGAGGATCCTCACGGCGTACTGACAGACTACATAAATGTAGGACTCACCTACGGGTGTTGTAATCTAGTTATGGTCCTACTTGACTGCATCTAGTTCTTAGGCTCTGAATATGTGTGTTGCACACTTAAACTTATTCTAGCACGTTACTTGGTTATTCTGCTAGTATCTGGTTTTTTTTTATTATTCGTATGTTCTTATCTATTGCTTCCGCGTCGCACTTTTGGTTACGTCACGCTCACGTGACGGCCAGCACGCCTTGATTCTAGGATCGGGGTGTGTCACTACATATGTGGTCCAATATCCTAATAGATAGAAGTGTTGGCTTACTTTCCAGTTCGAAACTTCTTCCTCTCCAAATTTATTATAATAGTTTCGAACTCTCGTTTTCTCTAATAATATATATATATATATATATATATATATATATATATATATATATATAATTTGTGCTAAGTACGTTATAATTCATAATTTCATATGAATATACTTAGAGGTACCATTTGGATCCGTTTTCTATTCTATTTCAGTCCTTTTCTTTTGTATATTTTAAGGAAAGAATCTCTTTCAAAGCAAATAAAAAGACAGAAATGAAGTGAGAAACCTCACCACAACAAAGTACACGGTAAATTCCTAGATGCCTGCGTACACGCAAAAGACAAAACGGCATGAAAAGTTTAAATTCATTTTAATGAAAAATCACATGTTTACAATAAAAAGTTAAACGTAGTACTATTCACTTTACCTTTTATTTTGTCCTTATCATTAAAACTCAAAGTTTTCAAGCCATTTTCATTAGTTTTCCTTAGAATTAATGGTGATTTTAGTTCCAGTACATGCTCAACTTAATCGTTGAATTGAAATCATATTTGTTTAATATTTTGATCGAAATTCTTGTCATTATTTAAGATAACTCTTTCTACATGCTATAAATTATACATTTAAACAAAAGGAAAACTAATGAAAATAACTTGAAAACTTTGAGTTTTAACGAAAATAACAAAATAAAGGGTAAGATGAATAGTAATAGGATTGACATTTTAGCGTTAAAATGTGGTTTTTCGTTAAAATGAACAGTACCAAAAGCTTTTCGTTAAAATTCCCTTAAACAAATTCAAATAAGAGTAAATAATATTTTAAAATTTAGGAATTACTTAAAATCAATAAGAGAGTAATATTATTGAACAAAAAAGATTATTTAAACTCTATTATTATTCTTCACATAGTAATTTAAAACATAAAATAAATATACAATTAGCTTTTTTTTTTAAGAAGAAGAAGCTTATTTGCTGCACTAAGGGTGATGGAGTGGGCTAAACTTTTTAATGGGCCGAGTCATATTAAGTGAAAAGAATACCACTATAGTGTAGTATTAAGTGACATGTAATTGACATACGTATGTAAAAAAAAAAAAAAAAAAACTATAAATTAAATTAAAAATTAAGGTATATATTGAAATTTAAAATTAAGGATACAAATCAAAGTTTTTTTCGAGCTGGCTAGCCAGGCTGCTTCACTTTCTAGTTTTTTCTGCTGCCTCTTTCAAAAGATCCAATTATATCGGAGTTGGAACAATTGGGCTTGGTTGCTGGTGCATACGACGTCGGTCGCCAGCAGTTTAACGGTGCTTTTATTATAAGCACGACGATGGCAAAGGAAGAGACGAGGATGCCCTTGCCCTTGCCTTTGCCTTTGGCCTTGACTTCCATCGAAGAAGAATTAGAAGCTGCTTAAGATGAGGAGGACGATGATGATGAAAGCTTGTTTTCCATTGATTTTAATTTTAACTTTAAGAATAATTCTAAGGGAGAGGAAGAGGTAGGTCCTTATCAATACTATGTAGCAGTTGGGGGCCAGAAGAGCGAGTCTAGCATGGATGCGCTTCTCTGGACACTGAGTCGCGCCGCAGTGACTCATGATCATGATCAATCACCATTAATAGTCATCGTCCATGTCTTCCCACCGATGCGATTTGTTCCTTCTCCTTGTAAGTTCAGTTATCTAATTCAGCTTCTCATCATCGTCAATTGCATTAATTCACGGGCATCTCTCTATCCATGAAGGCATGAACCATGTCTCTGTGTGTTTGCGTGTGCATGTCGCCGCCCGGCGGTCAGTTGGAGCGAGGTCTGATGAGGAAGGCTTGTTTGTAAGTTCATTAGCGTGTTTGCTAAAAGTGTTTTTTAATTAAAAACACGTCAATTATTTTTAGTAAATGTTCAAGTCCTCAATTTTCAGAAAGCGCTTCTAGGCTTCTAGCTAAGACCTTGAAACACTTTTACGTTTTCTATTAATCACAGTTAAAACTTCTTTTGGTTGTCATATAGCGGTTTTAACCTTTCCTAAAGCAATCCCAAATTGTAAGAGCCTAATACAATGAACATGCGTGCTGTATAGTCAGATGACTCAGATGTCATGATTCATACATTTGATCTATATTATCACATATATATTTTATTCTTTTTATAATTTAGTTGATTACTAAATTTCGAAGTTGAGAGTGATACAAGGGCTGACATAATCTTGCGTGTGTGTATTGCACAAGTTATTGATTCGAGTTGAATCCATCAAAGTCTTACACTACAGGAGTTCAACACAAATTTCAGATTACACAGATTTTCTAGCTGTAAAGGCGACTAATTAACCATAGGGTTATGACTGCATTTAATTAATTTTATCATTTAATCGATGATTAGTAAGAGATATTTCTGTCTTGGTTTTTCTGATATGCAGTAGGAATGCTTCCAAAAATACAGTGAGTCCAAAGATGGTGAACAATTGCATGGCCCTAGAAAGAGACAGGAGGTGGAAGCTCCTTGACAGATACGTTGATGCCTGCTCATCTGCCAAGGTATTACCAGATTTCCAAAATACAGGCCCTCTATAGCTATTTAATTACAAGTTTATTAGTACTGATTAACCTCTGTATGTCGATGAATATGACGTTAACGGAACAGGTTAAGACTGAAATTATGCTCGTTGAGAGTGATACAGTTGCCAAGGCACTCCTAGACCTTATTCCTACTCAAAACATAAGAAACCTAGTAGTTGGAACCACCGAATCAAGTCTGAGGAAACTGAGGTCCAAGAAAGGAAGTGGAATAGCCAGTCAGATTCTACGAAATGCGCCCGACACCAGCTGCAATATTAAGATCATATGGAAGGGAAGGGAAGTGATTGATGACAGTATGTTTACTGGCTCGACTTCATCGCGTAGCAGTAACGCAAACTCCTTGTCCACACAAGATGAAGACGATCAGCAAGAAATACGAATCTCAACAGATTACAATAGACAAGAGTACTTGCGTCCTGCAGTAAATCGCCATCATCTTTAAACGGATACAAGGCAATGTAGTGGGGGAAACCAAAACCTTCACAAATAACAGCTTGATTTTGTTATATGATGTTTTTGTTAAACTGTCCCACATCGGTGGGGTGAAGAAAACTAAAGAAGTTTAAATAGTATTACCCCACTCTAACTAATACCGAGGCCTTTTGTGATAAAACCCCACACCTGAGGATTGTGCAGGTGGTTAAGTGGGGACAGTATCAGTGTTGTTAGAGTGGGACGGGCCCGGCGATCCAACAATTCCAACATGGTATCAGAGCCCACGGTTGCGGGCCCGTGCAAGCCAACGAGCTTGTGTGCAAGCCAATGAGCTTGTCACCACCCGGAAGGAAACAAGTCTAAACTCTTAATATAGAAACGACCGCTGAGTTCCAATTGAAAACAAGTGGGCCCAACGTGAGCCGACCTCTGAGTTTCAATTACTGATGTGGATCTCCACGTGTGAACCACTAAATGAGGTTACACGTGAGGGGGAGTGTTAAACTGTCCCACATCGGTGGGGTGAAGAAAACTAAAGAAGTTTAAATAGTATTACCCCACTCTAACTAATACCGAGGCCTTTCCACACCTGAGGATTGTGCAGGTGGTTAAGTGGGGACAGTATCAGTGTTGTTAGAGTGGGACGGGAAAACTAAAGAAGTTTAAATAGTATTACCCCACTCTAACTAATACCGAGGCCTTTTGTGATAAAACCCCACACCTGAGGATTGTGCAGGTGGTTAAGTGGGGACAGTATTAGTGTTGTTAGAGTGGGACGGGCCCGGCGATCCAACAATTCCAACAGTTTTCGGCATGAAGAGATTGACATCCATATTGTTTTTTAATACGAAAAATAACTCGACATGGCACACGTTATAAGTCGCAGATATATACATTATGGGGTGTGCTATCCACACACCCCAAATTACTTCTCACACACCCTTGTTAATTTCTATCCGTTGATCTTCTTCAATTCATCCGATCCGACGGCCGAAAATTAGAAGGGTGTGTGAGAAGTAAAATGGGGTGTGTGGATATCACACCCCTACATTATACATAAGTTTTGTGACGTAATCCATCTGTTTGTATACCTAGCTAGCAACTTCACCGTAGATTATAGCAGCTCAGCCTACATTTCCACTCTTGGCATACTTATCAATCTGGCTAATGTCAAGGAATCTATCCATCCCGCTTGCTATGAGAAATCTGCAAAGAAACGTATCGTCAATTGAATCAATCATTCTAGAACATTACTATTTACCATTCTATGAATTTGCATACGTAGCAGGGTGAACGTCAATTTGGAGCAACATGACTTACTTATCTAGAAGAACTCTTGTCATTGTTCGGCAACGGCCAGGCGCAGTTGATTGCATGTTCACTGCAATATTCGGGTTGTGAATGCTCTGCCTAATGTGCACCCAACCATGCTGTCCATGTTCCTCATCTGATACTTTTGCTCTGAAATATACAAGTTTTAATTAAAATTTAAAGAAATGTAGCTATGATTAAATTCAAACAACGTCAAATTCAAATGTATTTAGTACAGCACCTGTACATGTGTGCGTCAACGGCAGCAGCTGACGCATCATTTGAGTCTACCAAACAGCCCTCGCTCACCCAACAATCTCCGCACGAATCTAACTCCCACCCTTCAAGCCGCCCCTCCTAAAAGTCGATGTGTGTTTCGTATCAAATAATGTAAGGATGTGAAGAGTTGTTGAATACGTGAGAGTCATAGGAACTTTGCATGAGCTAATAAGGAGTTGCTCAAAACAATTACCTCAACGTACTCTCGGAACATTTCAATGGCCTCCACTGCCTTTTCTTTTGCATATCTAGGCTCAGAAATTACATTCATCCTCAGCTCTATGGACTCTGACGGTTCTTCAAGGTCTTTTATGATGTTTCCAACCCCTTCGTCTGATCCTGCAAGCTTCATTCGCACCATCTCGATGATGATCTTTACCACCATGTAAGCTCCTACGAACAATTATTTAATTTGAGCACGATAAATAAGCTACCTAAGAATTTAAATTAGAACAAAATTAAGGAAGTAGAAAACAGACATGCAAAAACAACAATGCTAATTACCATCATCAAGGAAATGGTTCTCTTTAAGAGCACCGTGTCCAGATGTTTCCATCATGAGATGAGTTTCAATGCCTTCCTTGTTAAGCTGCACTCCCTTATCAATCACATTTCGATAACCAACACGATATAAGCAATGGTGACCCCCCCGATTCGTGATGAATCTTGTAAGCGCCATACTTGTACGCGCATCGGTCACTATGGTGGTTCCAGGGTGTTCCCTCAATACGATAGCAGAAATCAAAGCAATGAGCTTGTCGCCATTGATGGGGTTGCCCTTGTTATCCACAACGCCGCTGCGATCCACATCAGTGTCAAATACAATCCCAAGATCAGCAGAGTTTTCTAGCACTGCAGCTCTGGTTACCGCCATAGCTGTTTTGTCCTCAGGGTTGGGAATGTGGTTCGGAAACATTCCATCTGGATTAAGGTATAGAGAGCCAAAGGTGTCTGCCCCAAGCTTATCCAACACATCCCATGTGAAAAATCCTCCTGATCCATTACCTGCATTCACTACTATCTGCATTAATTAAAAAGCAATTAGTCATCATTCCGAGTGAATAAATCAATGAAGAATCAAGAGATATAAATAAATTGGTGTGCGCAGTAGGAGAAAAGACGTGTGCGGAATTCATTTCCTGATAGCTAATTCAATTCCGAACCTGGAATCCTTGGAGTGGAGTTTCGTAATGCAACGGATGGTTAACTCTCTCCTTGATAATGTCTCGGAGGTGCTTTGCATACGAGCTCATGAAATCAACTCTTGATGGAGGGACATTGAGCAATGTTGACACTTTGGCGAGCCTATTGGCATACTTTCGGGCTGCTCTATTGCATATGTCTTCCACTTCTGGCGAGCTTAGTCCTCCTTTCTTGGTGAAAAATTTGAGACCATTTCGGGTGTAGGGTAAGTGAGATGCGGTCATCTGCAGTACAACGTTCGAAATCAAATGATCATAGTAATTGTTTTACATCTTATGTGATATGAGAATTGACTTGAAGGAACTCTGATTTCAACCTCACATTTAACATGCCTCGATTTGTTTCTAAGTAAAGAATTAGGCGAGATAAGCTCTTAAGGTCACAAGAAGTAAGCATCCACCCTTGACCCCGAAGGAAAGGAGACTTATGGTCCCGTCCCATTAAATTAGGAAATGCCTCATAAGTCCTAGTCTAACTTTACATTTTACTAGTGTAAACAGTGCCAGTTTGTAGATGTTGCTGAATATATTATACCATGATGGAAGCGTCGTAGGAAAATGGAGGCAAAATTGTACTCATGAAGCAGGCCGGTGTAGTTGCAAGTCCCATATCGAATACCAAACAACCTGCACGACCTAGTCCCGAAAATACAGCTACACTCAAATTTGGTCCTGAAATCCTTGGGTCCTTGCCAAGGGACACCCTAACTTTCTCCACAAGTTGTCCTTGCTGCTTCTCCAAGCCGTCGATAACCCACTCACCAAAACTCTCCGCAATGGCCTCCACAGCCGCTGGTGTTAGGTCCACAATCCGCCCCTTCTCGCCTTCCAAGGCCACACCGCGAACATCAGACCCGTTCTGGAGCCTCCTGATTCTGTCCATCTCTTCATCCACCACAACTTCATTGTAGGCAGTGCTAGAAGACTTCACACATACAAATTTAGTAGCGAATTGCAATGAGCACGGAAAGCTAAGGTTTGTGTGGGATGTTTTGGTTGCTGGCTTTGAGGGGAAGGATAGTTTTTGAGCATTTGTTTGCAAATAAATTGTTGAATAAGTTGAAGTGGAAGCCATCGATGAGATTAAACAAATTCAGAGTAGTGTTCAATTTGGCGCCCTTGGTTCTTTTTTTCAAATGCTTGTTTTGAAGAGGGGGATTTTGGGACCAAACAAACAAGTTTGGAAGATAAGATACCTCAATAAACTATAGCCCTACATTTGAATATCCATACAAATAAAACTTGGAAGAAAATAAATATCTTTGAACAAAAATTCCAAATGCCCAGATTTTTTGCTTCTTTCTTCTTGTAGTCAAGGCAATGCCCCTTCTTTTTACAAGATGTGCTATTGATGATTCTCTCCCAAGTCCATAAGAAGCAATGGCATATTCTTGGTGCTATTGCTAGTGGCCGATCCAGGATTCGAAAGGTCTTTAGATAGAAACAAAACGCGAGACAAAAAAAAAAATCAATTTATTCACACTGAGACATTATTGAACACTTAGTGAGCCTGTTGTTGTCAGCCAAACCAAGTTGCACACATGTCAACAGATATTGACATATGACAAGCAATCTAATGAATGCTATTGAGAGAACAAGAGTGTTGTCGACACAACATGAGAGAAGTATTTCGTCAAACACTAAGCATAAAAATGACTCATGCCAAATATTTGGAGAGTCCTCAAAAGATCTTCATATGTATATTTCTCAAACTCCGAGTGGTCCGAGTGGTCTTGGGACCACTAAGGTCCCAATATGCATCTTCACTGACCAATTGATTGTTGACGAAAAATAGTTAAAACCTTCAAAAACCGAACTAGACTGGCTACACATGGCTCAGTCCACGGTTCTTAACTAATTAAATATGATCCAAACCGAATTAAAACAAATTGAAGCAAAAGAGAACCGCTTAATCTCTCATCATAAAACCTTTTTATGTTGTGGTAGTTTGGTCTCACCATAAGCTAAACGTTTCAGAGACGTTCTAGCCATTGGAAAATTGTGATGAATTTGGTCCCCGCCAATAATTTTTCATTTATTTTTCCAGTTTGCAGCGTGGGTCGATCAAAATGCAGGTAGGTTTTCGATCTAATCCAAATTCAGTTGAGTTAGTCTAGACCAAAGAATAGACAAAAGGCACAACCTATCGAATCTAATCCTAGCCTAAGCAGTCTGAAGTACGGAATCCTATCTTGTTCGGTCCACTCAACGTGCCCAAAGATCTTGCAGAAACTCCAAAAGCGAATATTTCAGACAAAACAAAAAAAAATTGAGTATTTAAGTAGCGTTGCATGATTCATATAATTTCACATGGAAGAAAATACAAAAAAGTAGTCATCCCAAGCACAAGACACGCACGGCATTCTTGCTTGAAACATAGATATACATTAAACAAAACACACTTAAATAAGAGAGCAAACAGATTTATGTTGTACCTAGACTCCTTCTAAACCTTTAGAACCAGGAAGGTTGATCCACTCAATCTGCACCACGATTTCACCGCACTCGACGTTTCGCAGTTTGAGAATCATGTCCTGAACAATCTTGCCATTTTCCCAACCGCAACAGCTCTCGGTGGAGAGGCAGTTGGTCCTGTTGGGCAGAACTTTCATAAGGGCGCAGCCCTTCGGGAGGGCGTCCGCGTCCAACCCCATCTTCAGACACTCGACGTAGGGTTTGATGTCTATGTCTGCATCCCCCATCTTGTCGTCCACGGTTAACGTGTCTTTGTCGTACACTTGCAGATGGATGGGTTCTTCCAAGTCGGTGATCGAAAGCGTCAGATCCTGGTCCCATTGAGGGTTGCAGTTCCTTTTTATCACTTTCGTCTTCAGTTTCTGCGATCCCATGGTAACCATCACGTACGGATCACTCGTCTTGACGTCGCGGATGGCGAGGTTTATTCCTCGCTTTATCCGAAGCCGGAGAAGTCCGAGGATGTTGTTCATCGTAATTCGCGAAAACAATAACAATAACAACTTCCTGGTTCTTTTTTTTTGAGATTTTTTTTTTTTTTTCCTGGATTGGTGAAGATATGATATGATAAGAAGATATTTACGAGGATGCGTTGCATGGAATTGAAGGGCATGAAAGTGGTGGAAATGTCATTAGGGCAACCATTCACAGACAGACCACACAACCACCGATCACTGCTGAAATTGACTTAAGGGTTTGGAAGTGGTCCGCCGCCCTTGTCGCTTTGCCACCCCTTGAGTGAGTCGCTATTTGGATTTCGGTTGGGCCGGCCTATGATTTTGTGTATATTAGGTTTTGGATTGACCCATCTACCTTTTCAATTGGATCACATGCCTGGGTCGGCTCGTTTGGGAATTTGACTAACAAGTCTAACTGTCCGACGTGTCCGACGGCGTATTGGCCCATTGAAGGGACAAATGTTGTTGGCCGAATGCATGTATATATAGGCGTAGAGGGGTCACATGAACCTTCTCAAGTTGCACCTTTTGTATCAAGTAATATCATATTATTGTACTATATACCTACAATTTGATCACTCCGATTCATAACCTTAGCACGATAATGCTAAAGAGACTCTCTTAAAGTTGAACTTTTTAAGGACTCCCTGATACATCACAGTTTACGTCAATTTTTATGGTTCAGACATGAAAATTACACATTATTTGTGCACGTCACCTTCAACTGAATTACCAATGCCATATATCTCATGTAGTTCATACCTCATCCCATTCACCCAAAGAATCTGCTTGACAACCCTAAGACTAACTTGGAATTCACCTTTCTCTTTCTAAAACAGTTTGAGTTATCTAGGAGTTTGTTGTTATAGACACGGGGCTTCCCTCTGATCTATCGTAGGCAGGAGGGCACATCTATAGGATATATATCCAAGTCAACTACTTTCAGTAACATTGTATCCTCAAACATTGAGAAGTGAATTCCAGTTTCGTGGGGCTGCCTGAACTTGGGGCCCAAACCTTGTTCAAAATGTACCGTCACAAGTGGATGAAGGTTAAAATGTATTGTCATTTTTGGGGTACACCCCCTCAGTAATCAATGTTCACTAGTTAGAAAAATGTTGAGCAAATCCTTGTTACTAAACAATAATGTAAGGGAAAAAGTTGAGCAAATTGATCCTTGTATGACGTGAATGATTTTGTATCAAATGGTACGTAGCAGAGACAAAAACCGAAGAAAGAAACTATTGTGAAGAGTATGAGATGTATGTAGAAAATTTAAGATATATGTTGAGAGTGTGGGGTGTGAGGGAATTATGAAAATACATGTGGAATGTATTAAGATAAATTTTAATTGAAAAAACAAATGTGGAGTGTTACTATAACAAGCCAAAATATTATGTCAAAAACATAAAGTAACAAATAAACCATAGAAAATCTCACTTTTAACAGAGCCCCTTAACATTTCTCCCTCAACATTATGTTGACCCGTAATCTCCAGTTGAACAACTTGTCTAAAAGAAACTTGCTAAGTTTGTCTTTTAGGAATAACTTATAAGTTTCTATAAAGATTTTTAATTAGTTAAAATGTCAACACATTCTCAAAGGAAGAAACACTTAGGAAAAAAACGTGGATAAGCAGAAGTGCTATCTAAACAAACATTTTCTAATCTACAAAAAAGAGGATTCGAATTATATTTTAAATGAGTACGTCATTGCTCTGGCCAATTAACTTAATTTACGTATAAAAAATATGAAACTAGAGCGAAAAAAGTTGGCTTTCAATATACTGTCAATAGTCACATGGAAATTGTTCAAGACATGTGGGGAAGAGCTGAGATGTTAACACATGCATGCATTCTCTTCTTCAGAGGGACCACGTATACGGCTTATATCACTCATTTGCTATGTTGTATGCACATCCACGGCGCCTTTAAATTATCTTGTGTTGTGATGTCGCTGTTTTAGCATCGTTGAGAAATATCGGTTCAAATCTATCCTACCTCATATCTCCATCAGATTAAGAACACCATGAAATCTCATCAAATCTATCCTACCTCATATACATATATATATATATATATATGTATATGTATATATGCAATTTCGTGGCATGAACTTTACTGGCCAGCTTTCAAGCTAACAAATGGCAAAATCTTGAGTCCAATCTTCTGTATATATATTTTTGTGTGTGTTTACCGTCATGAGAGAAACATACAAACAAGAAATATATATCATTTACCAAAAAACGATACAACGCCAACTTATAGTCACCAAGTAATTAGAAAATACATAATTACTCACCTTGGATTGCATATTTAAGGCTGAATAAGGACTGAACGTGTCTTTAATGTTTGGATCTTCACCTTTAATATCAAATTCAACTGTGAATGACTATAAGTCGACAAAGCAACCAAGAAACCAAGACTTTTGTATACCTAAATTTCACTCTAAACAAATGCCACTTGATCATGTTCTTAACTCTAATTAGTCGGGGTCAAAGAGATTATGCTCTTTTATGTCAAAGGTTTACAGCCCATGCCACCCACTTATCCCAGACAAATTAGTATTAGACAAAATAATTCAGCATCTCTCACTCTCTCTCTCTCTCTCTCTCTCATTTGCCCACCAAGGCACGGTTGGTGCGTTTTGGGTAGGTCAGTTTGTATCCGTACATCGCATATGAGAAATGTCCTTTTTATATATTAGAAAACGAGGAAAAAACTTGTATAGTGTTCAATATTATTTATTTTTATATAGGAGTATAATAATAATAATAATGTCATTTTCAATTGAGTATTTGCATAAACTGTCTTGCTCATACCTTTTCATATACATGATTCATCTCAACTCAAGGGTTTACGAATACTCTTACTTCCATTTTTTATTCTTAATTTTTCATCCCAAGGGTGATAAATACCAGATCCAATAATTTCTCTCTAATTCCACCAACCAAACGCATTTTTATCTTATTTTTTTTATCCTAACAAAGTAGAGTGAAAAAACGATAAAGGTATTTGTCGAGTTCTCCATCCTCCTCCTGAGTTTGTAAAGAGCTGCCAATTTTATAATGAACTTTTATATTAGCCAGTTATCACACAAACTTTTGTAATTGACAAATTTTCTTTTTGAGCTTTAGTTTTAGTCGATTAACCTTAAACTTTTACTATTAGCCAACTTTCTTCTTAACTTTAATTTTATAATTGCAAAAAAAAAAGTAATTTTATCCCTAATGCAGACAACAAATTATTATTTTCTTCTTCTTTTCTTCCGCTAGTTCTCTTTGTACCTTTTTCCGTTTGAGTTTTAGGGTTTAGGGGGTATTAAAGCTCAGAGAGAAATTGGTCAATAATAAAAGTTCACGGGATAATCGATTAAAATTAAAGTTCATGAGGGAAATTAGCCAATTATAAAGTTCAAAGAGGTAATCGGCTAAAATTAAAGTTTATAGAGAAATTGACAGCTCCTTACAAATCGGAAAAAATTAACCAATACCTCAAAACGATATATGTTGGTCAGTTCAAAGGTGTTTTCTTCTGGACTTGCTCACCAAGAAAAAAAGTGTAATTAGGTTAAGTACTACTCTTCGTGAACTCTCTGATACCTTATATTTTTAGCACAATATTTTGTAACATTCAAACAAAAATTAACCTTAAACAATAAGGTGAGAGAAAGTCTATAGAGAGTTACATCTTCAAAGAGTCTCTTAGTCAAAATGTGAAAAGTTATGACTGGAATATTAATGGGAAATTGGTAGCTCCTTACTAATCGGAAAAAATCAGCCAATGCCAAATATGGTGGTCCATTTGTTTAGGACAATATAGACCTTGAGTTTTTATTTAATATTCTTGCTATAGATGTAGACATTTCAATTAGATTATAAATAAAGCCTATCTTTTGACCCAAAAAAAAAAAAAATTTCCAACGGTTAAAAACTGACACGGTATGACGGTAGGAAGACGCGAGGAGGAAGCGGTAAATTTGGGGAAGTCGGTGGCAGTAAAATTTACACCCAACAAACCCAATCATTCCACGGAACGAAGTCAGGAATAAACCGAAATGCAAATATAAAAGCAGGGGCTCCTCTCCCAAAATTTCATCTCAACAAAAAGCTCAAAGCAAAACAGAGGATTTGATTAGAGAGAGAGAGAGAGAGAGAGAGAGAGAGAGAGAGAGAGAGAGCCGCCTCTGTACTCGACGAAACCCTAACCCTAAATTCCCAATTTTCTTCCTCTTTCGATCGGATTTCCTGTTACGGTTCCAATTGGTCCTCTCCAGAAACTCACGGTATTCTACCCTTTATCAAAATTACATCACGATTCGAAGCAAGCAAGTTGTGAATGGTGGAAATCTTAAGCGGCAGTAATTTCATGCGCTCCCTGAAACAATCAAGGGCGAGCGCTATCCTCCCGATCTCCGCCGCGTCCGCATTCGCCTTCGGCTCCTGCAAGGAAGGCTGGTACTACCGCTGCCTCGGAGTCGACCCGTAAATCTGCAACCAGAGCTCTCTCCCCCCATCTTCCTCTTTCTCATCGTCCGTTTTTGATTATCGCACCCGGATTTTCACTGATCGCCGCCGCCGTCCGTCGATTTTTTTGATTATTTTGTTGAATTGAATCAATAACTTGTTGGGAAAGAGGGAACTAGGAAGAAAAAAAGAAACTTAGATTTTGTGTTGTCTGGCTTTTTGCTGTTCGATTGATTTATTTGATTTCGATAACAAAACGACGAAGATGTTGCTGTACAAGCAGAAGAAGAACCAGAGCACCGCCAAGGGCAACAGGCTCTTGATCAGCATCACTGTGCTCGGCAGTGCTGGCCCGATCCGCTTCGTTGTCAACGAGCAGGAGCTCGTCGCCGCCGTCATGGACACCGCTTTGAAATCCTATGCGCGTGAGGGGCGCCTCCCGGTTCTTGGCTCCGATCTCAATGACTTCCTGCTCTACTGCCCCGCCGTAGGACCTGAAGGTAACTAACACTAACCAATCCTTTATCACTATTGAATTTACCAATCTAATCACTTATGAACTGTTCAAGATTTTATTAACCCTGTTCTCGATTCATGTCAATCCAATTTTAAGACTTGAATCTTACCCTTGATTTCTCATCTGTCCAATTTCAAAACCCACGTCTTAGTTTTGATACAAGTTGAATAGTATTGGGTGTTCATAGTCAAAATTGGTTCTGTTTTTATGCATTATTTTTCAATGTGG